CTATTTCAAAAAGAATATTCTTTGCGCAATCGCACGCCATATGGTTCGACATTGCTTAATTCAAGGTTCATGCCAGACAAGACAAGTTTAACAAGTCATCATTATTATCATTTATAAATGACAACAACAGCACCCACATTCACGCAAATCCACTTTCACTGCGTAAATAATGTGTACAATCTAAATACCGTTATAACGGTTATCACAAATACAACAACCGAAAGTAAGTTAATTAAAATTAGCTACCACCGCAGTGTGCTTCTCTAAAATTTAGAGATACTGTCGGTTTCCACCCGTCCGAAAATGATGGAAAGCCAAACATTCTGAAATTTTATCGACAGAACGTGCAACTGAAAATAATTTTTTACTATCAATTGTGCCTTCTGCACACGATTAACACCATTTTGACGATTTTAATCAGAAAACGGGCCGCCATTCTCCATTTTTGCAACGAAAAATAGAAGACACTAGGAACCCATCGCAGCTGCGTTTTATTCGAGAATTTCCATTGCAGACTCTAATATGGCAGCAATTCGAGCAGAAAGCGCGATCTATGGAAACACAAAAATATCTATTTTAGCCGCCTGCGGGCAAACTTAGTCAACCACAGCGATGTTAAACAATATAATAAAAGGATTTATGTGCTTATCAGAAAAATAAATATTAAATACAATGCCCGAAGGCGACGAGATTTCTGTTTACATTTCCATCATTTAATCGAAATCAGGCAGCTTTTACAATTTACAAACACGACACCATAGTGTGTTTTTGCATAAATATCAATTTTAACTCGTCAAAACCTCCTTCTAACAAAAAGCTTTCGCGTGTTGTACAAAAGCAACCGGTTAGAAAAAAGTGAAGATGGGATCTGATAAACGAATATAAATTTCCACGGGAGATGTATAGTGCTATTATAATTATCACACATATAATTTAATCTAGAAATGGCATGATTAGAAACGTTTCATCTTTTTTTTCAAGCAGCTACTTTGTCATAAAAAATAAGTTATGAAATGACTGTTATCAAAGAGACACTTTCCACACCTAAATATTTTCTCTGTCACGTAACGTAATAAATTGATACAATTATCATTATCCGCAGCACGACCGCAGCCATACTATATGCAAAATAAACTTGAAAAGCTACGTCCTTTGACGTTTCGTTGAAAATTAATTATGGAAATATGCCGTTGATTTATTCCTTAACACTGCAATAGCTCCTGGCCACAATAACAGGTTAGCGGAACAGTCTGGTCCGCATAGTTCTAATTAAAATTTTCATTACTTTATCGTAGACCTTAATCCAAACAAAATCATTTTTAATTAAACGGGAGCGTAATTAAAGGATAAGTCGCCATTTACATCAATTATTTTTTGACAGATCCTTTAGTCGGGGTGAATGAGCGCTCGGATGTTATTATAAATAATTGCCGTATTTATAAGTTTAGCAATAAGAGTTTAATCTCCTGAAATCGATTTTACAGAAGGTTGCTCTTTTCACCAGGAGGGAAAACAAGTGGGAGTTCTGTTTCGAAAACGTCAAAACGGAGACAGTTAAAATGCACATTGTACAAGATTTTGATGATTTGGCAATTGCTACTGATAAAAGGAACACAAAATCTGAAATGCAATTTTTCTGTAATCAAATTTAGTTTCTCCATGAATAATTTTGTATATATCCAACTTCTGGCGCAAAATTTAAATCCATGCGCATGCGAGGTAGAAGATTTAGTCTTTAGTCTGATTGGTCGATAGATGGCATTATAAGGTCGTATTTTTTTTTCAAATGCACTACTAGTGTTGTAATTAAGTTTATATATTTTTTTTATTTTCTAAGATCGTTTGCACGTTTCCTTATTTAGAACAAAAAAAGCATACGTATATCTGTTTAAGTTCTGGATTATTTCTAGTTAATTTATGGAGGTCTGTCAGTCGACTAGATTGCTGCATTTCAAAACTGACATTTATTGCTCTTATAAATTTTAGTCGGAAGCTGCACTGAAATGTGTAAGGAGCGACGACACGAAATGGGAGAATGAAACAGAATTTGAAGAACCACAAATTATTACTATAAAATTCCTCTTGTAAAAGCTGTAAGCAAATTATTTTCAGTTATAATATAACAAGTGATATGATTATTATCGATAATATTTCGAGTGAAACCGAGCTGAAGATTCAACGAGTGCGAAGCACGAGTTGAATGTGCTGCTTCGGTTTCACGAGCCATATCTTCGATTATTAATCATATCACGAGTTATATTCAACATGAGAATATAATGAATGAACACATTTTTTGATAACAGAATTGATTTCGTCGTTTTGAGCTTGCCCCCAACGTTGGCAAGCCATAATAGACAAAAAAATTATGAAATTCTAAAATTTGTCAAATTTGACAGTTTTTAAATTTAGGTAGCAACAGACCACAATAAGGCAATAAAATTATTATCGCTGTGATAAGACATGTAACTAAGGGCATGAACAAATTCAATTGGAAGAAATGGGGTCATATGATACATGAATTATATTCTCATTAAAACATTTTTTTAATCATACTTAGGGAAAAATAATATCATTTCTGTTCATTTTAGTGGTAAGAAACTGACCAATGTGGTCCGATAAAATAATTTTGAACAACTGAGCACGGTTGTTGATGTTCATAAATACAAGGTGTTCAAAAAATTGCGCACCAACTCTATGACACGTTGTTCAGGACCTTTTATGGAACAGAGAAAAATAATTTTTCTTTTCGAAATTTCATTATTCAAAATAATTTTGGAGGGATCTTATCTTTATCCATTGTTTTCTTCACTATACCGGCTGTCTGGAAAATGGCGGATTAACTCTCCACTACTTTTACTTAATATTTCTTTCGCCCATGACCATGTTTGATTACCATTTCAATGTACAATATGGTTGTGTCGTTTTTGTAATAATTTTATAAAATTCCATTTGACAACAATGTTTGCCCGATATAAAGCGAAGGTACACAACAAAAATCGAGTAAGCAGTTAAAAATGTTTGACGTATCGAAAATTGCCGAAGTTTTCAAAACCCTACGTTTAAAATGTTCGCAGTTAATTTTAGGTCCCTTGCTATTTTATTTTCGGATAAATTTAAAGAAATCTGGTGTTCTGTATTTTATTTTTTATCAATTTGAAAGTCTTGAGTGTCGCAGTATTTTTTTTAATTTGGGGGACACTTGGATACTCATGGTCTATTATTTTGCAAGCCCATGGAGAGATTTTTGCGAATTATTTAAAATACTTTGGGGCAGTTTGGTGTTCTGTTTTTGGAAAATTCTCTTTCTGTTTTCGGGTTAATTTTGGGACCCCCTTTTTTTTTTTTTGAAAAATTTAAAACAATCTTGAGTTTGTAGGCATTCCCGTTTGGAAAGAATTTGAAAGTGCTTTGGAGCCTCTGGTGTCTTTTCTTATAATAATTTAATCTCATTTCTCCAAATCAGTTTTATCTTATCAGGTACTATCACCGCCCATCCACCCTCTCTTTTCTTAGAGGATATCTCATTTGCCAAAATCACTCTTTTCTTAGCAGGAACTAGCCCCGCCCACCCGCCCTCTATCTTCTTAGAGGGATCTCATTTGCCAAAATCAGTTTTATCTTGGCAAGTACCTACTGATGACTAACTTTTACAAAAAATGATCAATATTTGGAAACATTACGAGCTTACTCATATGCACACGGCAGGAATTTTGAACATCTTCTCTAGTGTTTAGTTGGTAATGCTTTAATGGATTTTTCTTTTGTTGTTTTTTTTGTTTGTAATTTACAAAAGTCTTATTAAAGTTTTTTTTTTGGTTTATTTATTAATGAAAAATAACAGCTTGTTTTATTAATAATAATGCACAACGATTAATGCCTACTGCTTGTTATGGTTATTGTCCTAAAAAAAAATAAAAGGTGGATTTCAGTCCCCATCGTTATTAAGAAATCAGAAAAGTAAGCCGGAGGTATTCACACATTAGGTGCGTGCAGTGTTACCAATTTTACTTTTATAAAATTAAAGATTTTTATAATCCCGATATACATAACGTACTGCACAGTTAATCCGCCATTTTCAATACACCCAGTATATAGCTATAACTAGAAACTTAAAAATTGTTTAGGATGAATCTGACAACATCTAAATCGATATTTTGTATTTGTAAGTGAACGTCAAATTGACGTAAGGAAGTTTTTAATGATTTTGTAAGTGAACTTAAATACCGTTAAGTTGGTGCGCCATTTCTTGAACACCCTGTATATTTAATATACAGGTACTAGTTTTGTCAGTGATGCGGCTGCAACTATCTATTTGCTTGATACGCAAAATATTTAACATTTTTTATACATTTTTATGACAATTTATTAAAAACATTAAATTAATTTAATAAATCTAATAATCTAATAAAGTTAGTTTTTAGCCTTTAAACAAAAGCGTGCAATGTTATTTTATTTGTTAAATATTAGAGGCGGAAATACTTTCATGACTGGTCAACGAGCAAATTGTTATACGTTAAGCATAGCAAATAATCAATAATGTAGGCTACATCGATGTACAGCAAACAATTAAAATAATGGTAACGACGAAATGTTTGAACACAATTAACAACAAATCGCAGTATTTGTACCGTTAATTTACGATACAATACATTTAACTTTGTAAATATGATCAGTTGGAAATTTTCTAGAAAAAAAATGCGCGTACATAAAAAATGTTGAAAACTATAGAAAAAGAAAGTTCATTGTGCTGATAAGTCAAGTTTCATTTGTCAAAATAACTTCAGTATTTAGTAATTTAGAAGCAACAAGTATCAATTCATCAATACCAGTGTAACTAATGTGACTGCCGCGTAATTCCAAGATCTAATCTTAATGTTTGACGTTTCGTTCCTGTAGTGCCCCAACGGCGCCAAAAAATCGCATTCTCTCAAGGTAACGAAAAAAAAAACACCAAAAGCATGCCACTACTTTGTCGACTCCACAACAACAAACCAACATACCCTTGTTGATGACTGCCTGAGAGGAACGATTTCGGCAGAGACATCGACCTCTGCTGCGACTCCAAGAATCCGGCACTGCGTTCCTCCGTCGGTGCACTGCCCGGTCTCGTCAGTATCATCTCGCGCCCTTTATCAGACAACGGTGGCAAGTCCTCCAAAGGCGTCGAAGCGCCCGACCCTTTGGCGTTTTTCCCGACGGTTCGATCCGAGGTCGTCAACCACACGTCACTACTACTCGACGAACTGCTCACCGTACCGAACGGCACCGTGACCGGCGAGGTCTTCTTCTCGAATTCTTTCTGCGGGAGCATCGCCGAAGGCTTGCTCGGACTGACCCGTCTCTTGTTGGTCGAGTCCAGAGAGCGCTGGTGCGTCGGATAGCTCTGGGACGAACGCATGATGAACTCTCGATTGAGAGACTCGCGATGAGCGCAATGGGGCCAGAAATCGCAAGTGTCCGAGGTGCATGGGTTTTTAGGAGGAGTGGGTTCGACTTGAGGGCCGAAAACGTGTTTGCTGATGGGCAGGTTGGGTGTGGTCGAACCGCGATGGAGGACTTTGGGTCTTTCTTTTTTTGGGTTAGGCACGAAGTAGACGGTGAGGCCGTTGTTGTGGGGTTTGGGTGCTTCTTTTGGTTTTTCTTCTTTGCCCATGCTGCTGTAGCGGTGCATTAGTAGGGCTTGAGCGGCAGCGCGGGTCCTGGTGCCGTAGAGGTAGTTCGTGACGACTTCGGCTTCCCGGAGGAGGTCTTCTTCGGTGAAGGTGCTGCTTTCGATCTTGGTGAATCGCTTGGTGCGGTCTAACTGGGTACCCATTTTGATTACGGGTCGGTGGAGGTCTGGGTGCTGTGGGGACACCCGGAGCGGGTAATTCTGCGGAGTTTTCTTATCCGGTAATTGCAAGCTTCGGGATCTTCGCACTCGTTGCAAGGGATCGTCTGGAGGTGGCGGCGGCGGCACGATCTTTATGGGTTGGTAAAGGCGGCTGGGTGTGATTCTTCGGATCTGTTGCGTCGAACCCATCGGAGACCGCGACGGAAATTCGTTGCTGCTACTTGACGACGACCCCGGAGATACGCAAGGGACGGTGGCAACCTTGCTACCTTCCGAAACGGTCGGCGCTTTTCTCAGCTGACCCCTATAGTACTGCAAGCGATTGGGACGATTCGACGGCGAAATTTTCTCTTTCGGCTTATTAAAATCGCCGAACATGTTCATATTCACCATGCTTATATTTATGGAAGAACTATTGTTATCTTCTTCGTCGGCATCCTCGTAAACGTCAATGGAAGAGTCCGTGTTTTCCGACAGCCGCGGCATCGCCGGCCTATTCACGCAACTATCCAAGCTCCTGAACCCCATCGAGGACGATGACGACGACGACGATTCCCCGTGTCTTTGTACGAACAGCGACCGCCTCGTGGCCGTCGTATCCTCCAAAGACTTCGTCTGCGGGATCCGTCCGAACCCCTTCAGCTCCGGCACCACTTGCGGTACCACCTGAGGCGGCTGGCTGATCTTGCGCATCTGCGTCGGCATCGACATCGACTTCCACTTGGCCGTCTTCGGCGACGCCGGCGGAGTGATCTCGTCGCTGTCGATCGCGTTCGACCTCGGCAGGAACGGCGTCTTCCCGAAGAACGTCCTCGTCTTCACCAGCGACGGCTTCTTGTTCTTGTCCTTGTCTTGAAACGCCGGCGGCGGCGAGATGATCGGCGTGACCGGCGGCGGCGAGAACGTCTCCGGCTGCGGCGACGGCGTCTTCCTCCTCTCGACTTCGCGCGCTTGCAGCGTCAGGTGGATCGGGCGCGCCGTGGTGTCGCTCGCCTTCGGCTCGGGCAGCGACAGGCCCTCGGGTGCCTTGCCCGGCTCGCTGTTGAAGTGGTAGTCCGCGAGCTTGATGCCCGTCCGCCGCGACTGCTGCAGGGGGGTGTAGGTGGTGCGGCGGTTCTCGTCGAGGGACCGCTGCTGCACCTGGACCCAGCCGGAGCGCCCCAGGTAGACGCCGTCCACCTCGCGGTCGCACCAGCGCACCGGCGACAGTTCGCGGTTGACGGTGCCCCCGACGAACAGCTCGGAGGAGTTGTTCACTTCGCTGACCGAGTGGAAGTTGGACGAATTGGCCCACTTGTAGGGGCCGCTCAGCGACTGATGTTTGGTCAGAGTCGGGACCGTTTTCGTCGGATACGTTCTGCTTGCGGTCGTGTATACCGAGGAGGTTCGCGGTTCCCAAGGCTCCGCGGTGCTACGCAGATGCAGCACGGAGACGTTGGGGCCTCTGCAAATTAAAGCCAGTCAATACTCAGGGATTAGGCGGCGGCGACGGGTTTCCATATACGGACGGAGAACCTTGCCTTATTTCTAGCCGTTCATTGAAACTTTGCCTCAAGAAGCATTGCACGCTGACATTGGATCATTCGCTCTAATTCGCGCTCGTGTCAGCTGAACGATACGAACGCAAAAAAAATCTTGGCCCCACAATCAGGTTTATCGAAAGTATTCGGACGGTTCGAGAAAACCTGTGATCGTTCGCAACTATAAACAAGATCTACATTCATTGAAATTCATCCCCTGGTCTAGAAACAGAAACATGCGGACGTAGCTCTCGGCTCTCAGTTTCTGAAAATATCGGACAAAAAAATCCCAATGTTTGTCGTAATTTTTTAAGCCGCGGATATTATTCTTGTTCGTCACTGCACCTAACGTAGAAATTTCAACGTGTAGGTTATTGCGGGGTACCACCATTTGGCCGAAAAACTCACAGTTTAATGGTTCGTTTTACTTCAACGCGTTCGGGGAACACGAACCGAAGAAAGACTTTAACCTGTCACGACCACGTCCCGGCCCATAAACAATAACAAATGTAATTAACCGTACTTTACTGTTACCCGATGACGCTTTTGTCGATGGGTTACCCGACCCACGTTATTATAATATGGACAATGAACTTGCAAAAGTCAGATGGTGGGACGTAGGATGGCGTCCCCATATTTGCATTATCCTTGAAATTTTTAACCTACACAGTGTGGTCACCTTGCCGAAACACGTTCAACAAACACGAACAAGAGCCGATTTGAGGTACTGTTAGCGAGACGATCGGCAATTTGTCGTCAAAAACGAAATGCGCGATTTTTATGAGAAAAACTTTTATTTGCGGTAAAGTGGTCCGAGAGCGAATTCTTTGCCCACAACCTCCTGTCAACTTTATGATTTAAACTCGAGCTCTGTACAAAACGAAAATTAAACTCACTCAGCGATTCTAAATCAAAATAAAATACGGCAAAGTGCAGCTTTGGACGGAAAATCAACCAAAACAACGCGATGATGTAGTGCTGAATCTCGGGTATTTCGTATAAAACAAGCTTTTGAGTTTGCGCTTAGAGTGTGTAACCAGTTTAGACATAAATGGGAATTTTTGGTCAGTATGTTGGTTTTTTGCGGTTGAAGAATAAACCTATTCGTTTGACATAGAAGTCGGGACCTGATTTTGATTTAATTAGCTTTAATTTACCGTAAACGTTCGGTTTAAATTTCATCGTTTGTCAATCAAAGCTAGTTTGGTCGGGGCAAATTCGTTTGTTTGCAGTAGATCTAGATTAAATTTTAGTTTATTCATTAAAATGATGGCACCAGTTGATAGTAGATAGTTGGCGTTTGTTTACTCATAAAATTAGAGTGTGTGTTGTCGTGTTTTATTTTATTTTAGATGAAGAAATGAGTTTTTTTATTTCCGCAAATGAGACCAGAAAGCTTTCGGAAACAAAATTATGTAATTAAAGAATTTAAAATCCGGAAATGGAGAGAACAAACTTTAATTATGTTGTGAGTGACGCGACATTTTTTCTCTCGGAGTGCAAATTTCGACAGAATTAACCCCAGCAGCTAAAGTAACTTTCGAAAACTAATAAAAACAAAAATAACCTAAATAGAAATTTCGAAGATAGAAACGAGTTCCCTCGCAAACAAAACCGTCTCTTGTAAAAACAAAAACTTTTAACAGACTCTTTCCCCGCCATTCAAGGCACCTTACGAGAAACTTCACTAATAAAATAACACAACAAGTGAAAACATCGCTTAATTGTCTTCTATTTTAAGAAAATCGAAACCGAGGAGACGCCGATAAAAGTGTACACATGTCACTCGCATTTTCCCTACGAAGTTTTCCTTTTACGATTATCATCTCCCACGCACTTCATCGCCGACGAAATTAGACCAAACATTCGCTCAGATACGCCGTCCCCGACGCAGTTGTGGCGGTTTTCCCGGAAAAGCGGTTTCCACGCGAACCGATTATTTAGTTACAGGACACAAACTACTCACCTGGCTGCGGCCATGTCGGACTCCGCGGCGGGACTGATCCTGGTGGTGTTGGTGTTCTGACGGACCGGTTCTTCGGCTGCGGACACCCACCTTCTTACGGTTTCTGGGTTTCGAGCTCCTGCTGCTGCGCTGCCACTGATGCTGAGGCCGCGACCTTCGAACACGCTGTCCACGCTTCTCTGCAATGAGGGAAAAACGGTCATTTCCTAGCGAAAATCGAACTGTAAAAGTTTAGAAGAAAGACAAAGATTTCTCGCTGCAACACTAAGCGAAACGTTGCTGCGTTCTGAAATTCGATATTCCTAGAAAATTTATTCAATAACGCTTTCATTATTGCCACGAGGTAAACGGCGAACCCTTTGAACACGTGTCGTGACACGTTCGCGTTAATGTTTATTTAATAATTTATTGTAGTTAATTAAAAATGCAACAATTTCTTTAAAAAAGTTCATTGTGTTTTTTTTTTTTAAGATTTCGGCTACTTTTGTTTGTAATGGGTACCCTGTGAAAGTTTACTTTTCTTCGTTAAACACGTTGTTCGCTAAGTATCAGCCACCTTAATTAGCAAGAAAAAACCGAAAAAACTTCAAGGAACTTTCGGTTAAAAGCTAAAAGCTAAAAACAGATGAATTTATTTTTAACTCTTAAATAAGACACGAGATGAATGCTTGGGCTTGCTTTTGACACAATGCAGGTATAAATGAGAAGACTAGCACCAGTTTTTCAACGAACCTGTTGAAAGTTACTTAATTAATTAACGTGCGAAAATAAAATACTGACAAAAAGAGTTTTCGGTTTGTAGTAACGCAAGCTATTTTCCAGCCACTTTTGGCTAAAACTCCGGAAACGTAACATAATCCCAGCCAGTTTCACTTGCAGCAGTTAAATTTCGATTAGCTTTTAATCTGCTTGATCTGATATTCCATAAGCTTTATTAGAACTAGGTCCGTATAAACCTTCTATCCTTTTAATCCTGAGCCGTATTTGTATATAGAAAATTATATCAAATCTATACCTAACCAGACACGACCCTTATCCGAAAGGATTTTCGTAAAAAATTCCACGTCGATAAAATCCTTTGGATCTTTTCCAGAAATTTTTTAATAAAAAATTTAGTACAATGAAAAATGAACATTCATGGCCTTTTTTCAACAACTGGGGTGAGTGGTTTCGAGTGCTTTAACTAATCTAGAGCTTTTTATGAAGTAATGAGCTTGGTGAAAGCAAAATTGACGCATATAAAGTCACGACAGTGGACTATACTTTCCCGCTTGTAAAAAATCAAAGCACTGAAAAGAATTATAAAGACAAAAGCCAACCCTGTGTTATTTAGCCAGAATTTGAAGTGCGCTAATGTATTACTTTTCTTTGAAACAATTAAATTTTATTACATAAACAGCAAACCCTCATGCGTTCGAAAATCAAAAACAGGCATTTTCCTCTAAAATTCAATTACACCCGAAACTCCTACTTTATTTTTGTATGTTCAGCGAATCAGAGTTAGTTCTCTTTGTTAAATTAACAGAACTAATCGAACAAATAGACACAGATACCAATAGTTTAATGCTACATGTGGTGAAATCCGACCGTTTCGTACCTACCCAGAATTAATCGTTTACAAACTTCGCTCCCCTAACGCAGCTTTCCATTTTTGACACAAAGTTGAAATCAAACAATCGAGATGTGAAAATATTTACCAGCAGAAGGAGAAACGTTCATCAACAAACATTCGATTAACTCAAGGACGCCTCGTTGATCAAACGAACATTGAACTGATCAGGGGCAAAACTCGACTTCGTGCAAACACGGCAGAAAGTGGAAACGCGGTTTACATAATTTTTTGACCATTTTCAGATAGCATTTAAAACCCTGAAAAAAAAACACATCATCCATCAATTTCGGATACGAGCTTTCGAGTGGGTGGCGGAACGGAGACGCCTTACTAAAAGATGTATTCAAAGCGAAGAAGTCATGCAGAAAAATCGACGTTTATCACTAATCCAAAGATACCGCACAGTTTAATGTCAGAATGTACATGGTAGTGCCGGATTAATCGAAATCCAAAAAAGTGTTCTCGTATAAAACTATATATTGCAAAAATTCTTTTATGGGGATTTCGTATTTGCACGGATTAAATTTAACAAACATTTTCGACTGAGCGGCGAGAGCTTTTCATCAGGATGAAATTTGGGGTATTTAAACCCGCTGATAATTTTTTGTAACTATCAAGTTGCCAGACGAACTATTCGCTAAAGCTTTTTCATGTACTTTTGTGATGCAATAAAATACGAATTCATTATTTAAAGCAAGACAGAATGTCAAACAAAGCATTCAAACATTTGATCGGCATGGGTTGAAATTTGAAAGCTGTTTTATTTGTGTGGTCCGAAACGAAGCTGAACAAAAATGCACCCATTGTAAAGTAAGTTTATAAAATGCAACCTGATATTTTGAAAACTCTAAACCGAAGTTTATAGTCGCAGCAGCAGAATTAACAATTACGTCTATGTGTTTACTTTACAGTTGAGTCATCAGTATATTCAGACTCTAACCACCGTTTTATTGAAGGTTACTATTCAACACCTGTGTGCGCTAAATAAATAATAAAATGTTAAAAGAGTAAACACGTTGTCTTAAAGTGTTTTCAGCGCTTCCATTAAGAATCGTTGGGTTTTAATAAAACTGTTTTCAGCGGAAATGGCTACGCAAAGCAGAACTCTACAGGATCATCTGTAATTCTGTCACTGGTTAACATTCGATTTTCTGTACACAAACGCCACACATTTTCTTGCTCTAGTGAAAATTCTTATTTTTGTAAATTAAAACTGGATTGGACAGGTTTGACAATTCATTCAGTTCTCAGTATACAAATAACAACAATAATAATTTGTCTACTTTGTGTAAAACGTCAATGTTTTGTTTTACAGTTTTTCGTATTCAAAAGTTCGACTGTAAAGCTTGTAACTTTATCGAATATCGAAACATTAAACAAATATGTGATGGCAAAAAACCAGTTCGATTTTTCCATGGACGCAAAGCCTCTTGTACTACTAAGCAGCTTGAGTTAATACTCACACAAAAGAAGTCGACTTCAAAATCCGCCAAGTCTGAGAATATCGACATTTTTCACTGGCTTTATTTTATTAACGAAAAATTTTAATAAAACCCCTGTGGACTTCAGCCATCCCTTTCCCCGAACCAAAATAAACAGTAGACTGGAATAACTCCCAATTGGAACGAACCCGACAAATTTTTGTAAACAATACATAATATTTGTACTTTATAATCAAGTCAGTACAGATTAATGATTATGGTGGGCTGGTAGATGAGACATCACGTGTGGACAACGTCGTACAGTAGACAATCTTGTCATCATTGCTATGTACTAAACTAAATAAATTCTGTTTCTGTTTGTTTGCGATTAACGTCAATTTCCATAAAGTTGGGTTATGCAAATGTTAAAATAATGGAAGTTCACCCAGAGCAAAGCAAGTTTAGACCAAATTTGTGGACGCTATCCAGATCCTCTATCTGTTTTGAGGTATATATTAATAATTATTTGCTCTCATGTAACCGATGAAATCAATAATCAGCTTAAAATTTCTAGTCAGCAAAAACCTGCTCAAATCTACTCACCCATTATTAAACAAACAATTTTTACAATCTGTCTATAATTATTTCATAACCTGTTTAGAGTGGACGATCTCTGTAATGGATGCCTTCCCGAGTTACATCAATCCTCGATTGCCATTAACATTGTGTCAAATTAAATCCATCCAGTGTCGGTTTAAACAAGTTCTATTATAACATGATTTATTACTTTATTATTGGCCGGGACTTCGATTGTGCATCGATTTTTCAGCAACTTAAGTAGATACACGCAGATGTTAAATTCAGAGAATCATTATTTACACAAAAACGAGATTAATGGCATTTTTTCCGCTCCCTACAAATCATATTCCTAAAATTTGGGATCCGCAAGGATACAAGCACCTACCAATTTAAACTGTCAAGTTTTAATTCCTAAGAGTATTTCATGCCATAGCTCTTATTTATCTTCTTATACGACAATCGAGTCGTTTACTGACTCTGAGCACTAAATTGTTTTAATAAGTATATTTAACAATGGGAATTTATCTCGGTTGTCTAATTGTTTAGTACCTTGCCACTTAACAATATTTAGACAACAAATTCTCAAATTGTTAATGGAACGAACATCCAGGGTTCGCCGAAAGGCCGGGCTATAAATAAACCGGCTTTGACCTTATGCTTTTTTTAATCCACTTTTTTACTAGTTCATATATGGCTTAATAAACACGATCAATAGCCTCATCAGCCTTAATGAATTCATGCAAACCAAAGCGTGCGATTTACAAAAACCATTCCGACTGCTGGTTGGTACGTGAGTATTTTCGAGAATCGTGGAGTGGCTGTCGACAACACGAAAAAAGCTAAATACATTGTTTTACATTTATGATTGACGACGAAAGCAGGTAGGTGGACTTTTGTCCGTTTTTTTTACACAATAATTTTTATTGCATCAGTTTACTAAATTGCAATGGTAGCAAAAAGGGGAGGACAAAATTGCCACTGTGCTAATGTGCTACAGTTCACTCGAATGCGTGGAATCTCATCTGTGAGCAAAATGACAAGACAAAAAAATTGGTTGAATGTTATATTTCGACAGGACTTCCATTATAAATTTAATTTTGCGAACTTTTATTTATGATGACCTCTATATGTACATTGAAGCAAATGTAGACAATACCAGTAACAGTGTAAGAAACTAAATGGCAACCTATAAATCACTTTAACACCCTATATATTTTTTTTGTGTTAGTCTACAACCGAGAAGTTGAAAAATCCAGAAATTTGGAAATTCGGATAAGTGGAAAATCAAAAACTAATAGATACTTAACTGAAAAAACCAACAATTTTAAATATGTAGAATTATAAAATTGAAAATTGAAAAATCGATTATAAAACTTTCGTAGAGTATGCTTAGGAAGTAAAAAGTTAAAAGGAAATTAAAAAAACCTCCAAAAGGTATGCCTCGTTTCCTCTGGCTCGGACTACGTAGCAACAAATGTTTAGCAGTACCTATGCTCCTCTAGGTTAAGTCGTAAAGCCTAATGGTAGGAAAGAAAATACAAAGGAAGTCAAAAAAGCATAGTACGTAACGTAGAATTTGTATCTGTGCTTATCTTTGAAGCGAGCCTCTGACAAAAAACGATTTCAAGGATTTATCACTCACATTGATAACCGAACTCCTCTTCGAGTCCCTGTCCGCCGACCTCTGCTGCAGGTGCCTGCTCAGCGCGAACATCTCCGCCAACCGCGACCTGGTCTTCCCCGGCGTGGGGTTGATGGGCGCCACCTGTTGAGGGTTCCTCTTCCTCGAGGGAAAGACCAGATGCTCGATGTCGGGCGTGTAACCAGGATCCATCCTGACGAAATCCTGGACGCTCAGCTTCGGCCCGCTCTTCGAGCCCTGCTTGGTGAGGGTCGATTTCCGCTTGACGTTGAACGGCTTGTGGGGATTGGAGCATTCCGCCAGGAAGAGGAGTCGGTCGCGGACGTGAACCTCGTCCCGACTCATCTTGATCGCAAACGTTCTATTTTACGGCGCGTTTTTCGGGCTCGACCTCGTCAGACATCTGCAAAATTAAATTCAATTTAGGCCGGATTTACGTTTTGTAAATGCACAATTTGAATATCGCATTTGCATTTATAGAGGGGTTTAAGACGCGTGCACTAATCGATTGTTATTTATTGCCGTTTAAATCGGATTAGTGTTCTTCTTTTCGATGGACGGGAGAGCGGGCGCTAAATAATTTTGTTATTGCTTTTAATTGTGGGAGTGATGGGTTCGTTGCGCGCACCTAATTTGGAAAGAAAACGGTTTCGAGGGTACTTTTTTAGCTTTAATTGGACAATGACATATCAAGCGAGAACAAATTGTTTAATTATCTTACGAGTGGAAACTTGTGTGGGTTTTAATTAAAACGTCAGTGGGAAAAACTCCGGATGGTCATTTAGGTGATTTTCTACATGCTTTCACAATGAACGCGTTGGGTGTTGGGACTGTCAGACGTTGTTTTCCAACGCTGGGTATGTGTTTATTAGAGTCCGAGCGACATTTACGCACTTGATATGCTAGCTGAATATTAAAGTAGCGTAATGCACGTTTACCAAGATTGCGCTATGCAGCTTAATATGGTAAAAACGTTTGGATAGGTCAGGTTTCCGATTTAATCAATTAAATAAATTGCCTTTTAATAAATTTTGCAATCAAACTTTATGTTTTGATGTCAACAGCACGTTCCCATTCATACAAAGAACTGTCAGCTGCGTATAATAGTTTCGTTAACACAGCCACCCTAACACTCCCCTTTTTGTTGCAAAAAATGGGAAAATTATTTCATTATTATTTAAATACAGCTGCGAGTTGTTTGTCTTTGTAGGAAAGTTGCGGGTTTTTGCAGCTGAAATACTCCATTTCAGCGAAATATTCCTCGTTTCTTTTTACATTGTGCCCGCGGACACTGCTACAAAGTGTTCCCCCGCTCTAACAAGTGAAAGAAAATAATCGCTGTAATAAATAAAATCTTTTAAGAGACACAAAATCAATCGCTTTTATTTCTTGCTTAATTTATATTTTCTTCACAAAACAAATTCCGCCATCTTGTTCTCCTACATTTTAGACGATCCATTGTTTTATTATCGCATTTTTGCATGCTATTCCAGATTTGGAAGAATTCATTTCAGATCCATCGCGACCGCATGTAGATTGAGATAAAATCCACCGGCACATAATACAGAGAACAAAAAACAAAATGAGATTGATTAGATTTTACTGCGGCATGCGGTGCGGGTTTCTCGAAAAATTCTAAAATAATTCAATCCGGAACGGAGTAATCCCTTGACAAATTCCAGCACAAACAACCCTTTTCACCTTAATAACAGCTTCACGACACAGATAACGTCAAACTTAAGAGGCAACATTTACCTATTTTCGCGGGAATATTTATATTATGTCTTTAAAAGTTGCTCAACTCTATCCAAACTTCGGACCAATTTATACCCGATCTTGTACGTTCAAGTTTGTCATAAATTTTTTCGAGCCGCAAAAGTGGATTTACAGAGATAAATCTTTTAATTAAGACGAACATTTAATTCTAATTTTGAGGAAACCTTTTAGAATAATTTCTGTCAGTGCCAAGCTCATTGAAAAGCGTTTTGCGTTCCGACGTAAGTGGTTGGTAATTTAAGGAATTGTTGGAAAAAATCGAGCACAACAAAGAAATGCGGAATTTATTATGGATTTTTAGCTTTCTTGAACGCGACTAACGAGGAAGATTGGATTGGAGAAGTAAAAATGTCTTTACCAAAAAGTAATTTCTTGAGGTTTTTGCTTTGTGAAGTCCCCGCCACAATGGTGTAACTACACATCATTTAATTAAAATTTCAACGGCGAACATACGGAGAAAGCAGTTTCCGCTAGGAGAGCAATAATGCAGTTACTTGAAAGCAGCTGAACAAAATAATTCACTTTAAAATCTCCTTGATGAATATGCAGATGTAATATAGGGGTATCAACTGAAGAATATACGAGCTTTAATCAAGCGAAATAACGTTCTTTTATATCTCAAATATTTGGAAATACGAGACAGAGAGACGATCGTCTCTTAACTACCTGAATTTAGTGGGAAAGAGTCCTCACTAAACTTAAACAAACACAGGAGAAATGAGATTAAAATAAACATTTACTCGAGTGTCCTTTTCGACTGAATTACACCTGATGCGAACAAATACAATATTTACCTAGAAATTTCATAGACTTCCTTGCTCTTGCTGTATTTTTGATTATGTTCACAGAGTGCGAACAGGAAAACAACTGATAATCAACATAAATAAGAGTTTCAGCGTGCTTCGCGTTTCGTTGACTTAAAAGAACGAGAAAATTTAATTAATTTGCTTCAAAAGCAATAAATTACTGATGTTTCTCGTTACACGGAATTGAAGGGGTTTCTAGCAATATTTTTAGAAAAACGGTTAATTAACTGGAAATTTCATTTCAATTAGTACCCCGTTACGTTGGACCCCAATTTTATCACGTCGTTCTGTCCCAAAAAATTTCTAAAGAATGTTAAAAGACGCCATTGTGAAAACTAATAAAGCAGAGGGCACAAGCACTGACCTGAAAAGCCTTATTCAGGACACAACGTTGAGCATTCAATATTTTTGTAACAAGGTTAGTAAATCGAAGTGATCAATACCGACAAGGAAGTCTTGTAAGTTCTCTCAAAAACCTTTAGCTCTTTATCTAATTGTTTAAAGTTGCACGTTACCAGAGGTTTCTCTTAAGCGAGAATGGAAGTTTGCGGCGCGAATCGGAGGCAAACTCTAAATCGGTCTTTTAAACTAGGTTATTAATTAATTAATAATGAGTGATTAGTCCGTAAGTAACTTAATTAACTTTAAATTTAAATGCAATTCACCAGAATTAACAGTTGATTACTTAATTACAATTTATTGTTTTAATTTTAATTAATTGCAGTTAATTAAAACTAATTGTGATTAATTGCACGTAATTAAGTGACAAATGAGACAAAGTAAACTTTATGTTTCATTTTGTAACTTAAAATAAGTATAATAAAATCAAAACAGTAGAGGTTTTACCAAGCGAAGTTAATGATTAATTAATCAGTAACCGCACAATGTGTAGCTAGTAAAAACTCTCTGTTAAATTTGTTAACGGAACCTATTGCAATAATTACAGTAGTATCACGAACTGCGCAAACTTATCGCTCTTCCTCGACCCTAAAACTCTGAAATCCCAGCACACTTATCTGATATATATTTCCCTGTACCTCTAACCTGCGTGTTTATTTTTAATTAAATTAAACTGTCTTCGGAACAATCCATCACTCTAAAAACTACAACCCCATTTGTCTTCCTAAAGGAAAGGTAAGTGTGAAAAAGTCGAACGTATCTCACGCCATTACATTAAAAATACACAAAACTGACCTTTTAGGGATTAAAATAGCAATTGCTGACCCACATTGTTTGGGGCGGTTATTTTCTGGAAAACATAGCGTGACAGAAGCGATTTGTACGTCAGCATGCAAAAGCCGAATTAAAACACAACAACTGTTGGACGAATTTCATTCTTAAGCGATTACAACTTCTTCAGATAGGTGGTGAACCGAATGGCGTGGGAGTTTAGAGGTGTGACTAATATCCTCCACGAAACGCGAAAGTATAGTTTAGGAGCGAGACGTTACAGAAAAGGACGGAAGATTAATTTATGGCGAAGTAGCGAGGAGGTTGATACTTGTTTACAAAATAAGTCACTGAAGTTATTGTGACCATTTCTGAAATAATTGAAACGGCCTCTTTCTGTCTCTCTCTATTCATCTCTTTTTCTTTCTGTTTATTAAGTACTAACAATATACTTGTACTATTACTGAACACTTTGAATGTTGTACTAAATTAAGTTATAAAATCGGTTGTTATTATGTTAATAAATTGTTTCAGTTTAACGCTTTTAGATTAGCTCCTTTTCCAAGGATTCTTGCAGACTTTTTATTTAAAAATTTTACTCTGGAGTTTATTTTACTTGCTGATTAAGATTTACATTCGCTGCAGGGTTAATTAATTCATTTTTTTTTCGGAATAAACGAATTTTTAAACATCTAATACAGTATAACCTCTATAATCCGAACATCCAGTAATCCAAACATAAACTGACCATTTTTTTTTTTAGTCAAAACGGGACGTCCATACATACTACTAATAAAATATATAGAATATAGATATACCATACATACATAACATAACATACCCCAGTGGGAAGGTTAACAATAAAAATAAACAGAACTTTTTAATCTTCTTTCTTTATTTTATGTTCACAAAAATTAAAAATATTTTTAGTATTATAAGTAGTTATGAAAAATAAGAAGCAATCACCAGCTTCATTAAAGTAAAGCACCATTTATGTGACAGTAATTATTAAATTGCAACATAATGTTATATTTTTAGTCGTATTTATATTTCTCGGAGGAACAAACTTGCTTTATAATATTGATGGTGACGCGCGGTTTTAGAAAACGGGACAATTTTGCGTCCCAGATCATTATATGGGGACAACGGGACAGGTGGTCCAATAAAGGGACAGTCCCGTTCAGTGGCGGCTCGTGACTATTTTGGTTGGGTCGGCCAGCAGTGAGTAACCCAAAGTTTTAAGACATAGAATACAAGAACCAGGGACCTCAAGTTAATCATTATCTATAATTTGCTACCTGTATGGTGTTAATTCATATAGTCCTAACAACTTGGTAAAACAAAATAAAAAATATTCTTCAAATAGGTATAAAGTAAAGCATATACTTATACAATATAAGCCATCTATAATAATAAAATAACGTCAATAAACTCAAATAAAAATGAAAATAACATTCAAGTTATAAAGTAACACATTCTAACAAAAAATATAACATTAAACGTCAACAACTATTTATTAGTAAAAAACAAAATTAAAAAAGTAAATTAGAAATTTTTATAAACCAATTCAATGCGTCTTTGTTTTGTATTGGCAAAGTGGTCAATTACTTGATTATAGAACTTTTGATCTTCCGTTAAGTTTGTAAGCACT